GGACTCTGCACCATGTCACACAAGGTGGATAACCCAGTCATGGTTGTCAGACAATTTCAAATAGATGGGTTTGGAGGATAATTCTTTTTTAGAGAAAAATACTCAGGACAAAGTGTTTCAATTGAATAATTAATAAAAAGGGTGCTTGGAATAAGGACATCCCAAGTGAACTTTTATCCAATGCAGAATAATCATTTGGGCCCATCTATTTGAAACTCAGATGTATATGATACTTTATTATAATCCAGCTTAATAATTTACTTAATGTTTGCTCTTGAATAATGTTTACTTTTGAATAATGTTTGCTCTTGAATAATATTTACTCTTGAATAATGTTTGCTCTTGAATGATTTGAAACAAATTCAAAGTGTTGTAATTATATTTTTCATTAGTATATATCTGTCAAAATAGAGTCCTGGGTATGATGATAAACTACATCTGGCAACAAAGCCACAGATCAGAAGTTTTGAGGTTTTGAAAAGCATGGGATGACCTCTTAATTGCTATTGTTCCCAGACCCACCCTGACCTGAAGTGGTAGCACCTTTTAGGGTCCCAGCTATGGGCAAATAGTGACCCCCCTCTCCACTCCCACAAACAAAACTATGAAAGTATAAACATAAATTTTTATAGTAAAAATTCCAGCAATGAATTTTTTTGTATATAAAAAATGACCAATTTATTATTATTTAAATTATTTAGATTTTGGCATTAAATAATGTATAGTGGTTGATATGCTGCTAGATAAAATTAACCAAACTCCACCTTAGTCTTTTGAACAGGAATAAAGGTTTATCCCTTGTTTCCTGTTCAGTAATAGGTTTCCAGTTCCTTCTAAATTCTTCTCTCTCTTTCACTCCTAGTAGCCCCTTGTGTCTTACTGGCATTATGTTATGGTCTGGCTCCTTGTACCATGGTGATAGTCAAGGTAGAACCAATAAAGAAGAACTCAAACACGGATATGGAATAATATGGATATATTACAAACAGGAATATATACAGAGAAGTAGAAAGTGTTAGTACGAACAATCAGGTTTAGTAGTAATTGTCTGAACGCAACTCTGTTTCGGACTGCCTCTGACTCGCTCTGACTGACTGACAGACTCCTGACGGACTTCACTTTAGACTTCAGGCTGAACTCCCTGCTTCCTCTTGAGTCGCAGTATTTATTATGTATGGAATAGTCCATTATGTTATTATGGGTAAGGTCCCATAGCACATTATCCTCTCGCTTGGGGAGAATTGATTAAAAAAAACAAATAAAAACAACCAACATGAATGAACTTTCATGACATTGATCCATATAATATCCTACAATTTATTAAATCAAATTGTATGCCAAAATATAACTTTAAAAAAATAACATAAAACACACATAATCCCACCTCTTGTAATCATATCCACACAAACTTCCATACGCACAAAAGCTGAGAACGATCGACCATGTATTCAATTGTAAAAGCAAAATAATATTTATTTTTATGACTTCTGAGCTCCCAAGAAAATTAAATTTCAGTATTAAATGACCCAGGAAGAGTTATTATAGCATTAAACAAATCAACCAACCATCATATGTTGGTGTACCAAAAATACTTTTACAAACTTTAGGGATGGGTTCCTCACACCAAAACAAGAACAAAAGTCCATATAAACTTATCTTCAAAAATCCTTCATTTTTATGTTATTAAGTTTAAAGACACTAAACACTAAATAGCACTGTGTGGTCATGTAGACTGGGTTACATTTGTCATTTGTGTATATTTATGGTTAGTTTGTCTTCAACATTTAATGTGTCGAATAGTGAGTTAACTGAGAAGTGTCCCATTTAACAATGACTGGATATTCATATCATGAGCAAGCAGATATGATTTTTATATACAGCCATGTGAATGGTAATAGATACAGAGCTGCTCGGCTCAATCAGATTGCATTTCCAGACTGAAGATGACCAAGTCATCCAACCTTTGCTGCTGCTTATTGTCGCATTGCTGATACAGGATCTGTAGCACCACAAACTATGGATTGAGGAAGACTAAGATCCACACATATGCCTGGCCATGAAGAACACACTCTACGGATTGTCAGAGATGATCCAGCTAACAGGACACATCCAGTGACGCTAGCATGACATACATCTCATAGTACTACATGGAGGTTCTCCTGTATCCATATCATTTGCACACACACACACACACACACACACACACATATATATATATATATATATATATATATATATATATATATATATATATATACAGACATATATATATACACACACACACACACACACACAGAGAGGGTGTGTCAAAATAATTTTACAAATTTTGGGAGTGGGTCCCTCACACCAAAAAACAAGGACAATAGTCCATATAAACATATGTCTGCAAATCCTTCATTTCTAAGTTAGGTTTAATGAAATTTTATAGTAGATGGCATTGTGTTGCCATGTAGACGAGGTTACATTTGTCATTCGTGTATATTTGTGGCTAGTCTGTCTTCAACGTTTAACATGTGTAGAAGTGAGCTAACTGAGAAGTGTTCTGTTTTACAATGGTAGGATATTCATATCATGAGCAGGCAAATATGAGTTTTACATACATCTGTGCAAATTGTAATGTTAATGGATTCACGGCTGTATCAGATTGCGTTTCTAGACCAAAGGTAACCAAATCATCTGACCTTTACTGCTGTTTATTATTGTGTTGCCAAGACAGAATCTGTGAACCACAAAGTAAGGATTGAGGAAGACTGAGATCAGTTTGTATGCCTGACCACATTCTACATGCTGTCAGAAATGATCCAGATATCAGCACATGTCAAGTGGCCCAAGCATGTTGTACATCTCATAGTACTGCATGAGGGGTACTTCAAGAGCAGTTCCTGTATACGTATCACTTGCAATGTGTGTAGAACCTGTCTCTTCAGTTTTGTTCATGGATGATGCAACATTTGGAAGAGATGGAATAACAGATTTACACAACCAACATTTGTGGGTGGATCATACAACACAGGACAATACAGGCTAAACACCAACATCAGTTTGCAATTAATGTCTGGGCTGGAATTGTAGGTGACTGTCCATAGGTTCTCCCAACATGCCTTACAGGAGCTGTCTATGGGGACTTTATTTCAAACATACTTCCAGGCCTGTTAGAGGATGTACACTTAATATGAAGCTGCATGTGGTTCTTGCATGCTGGGGCTCTAGCACATTTTAGTCACATTGTTTGCAATGTACTAGCTGGCATCTACCATGAAAGATTGATAGGTAGGGGGGACATTCCACTGACCTCAGTCTTTTGGATTTTTATCTGTGGGGCCACCTAAAACAACTGGTTTATGAAGCAGACATTAATAATACAGATACACTTCAACAATATGTCATGGGGGCCTGCAAAACCATCCAATACTGTGTGGGAATTTTGAAAGGATCCACCAGTCAATGATCTGAGAGGTATTTGCATGTGTAGAAACAAGCAGAGGACATTTTGAATATTCGTTATGAGTTGCTGTGTTGAGGTACAACACTGACCTTTTGGACATATGTTTAGATAGTCATTTTACCTTGTTTTGGTGTCAGGAATCTGCTCCCAAAGTTTGTAAAAGTATTTTTGGATTATATCTTAGATTGTACATTTAATAGTGTCTACTGTAAACTTTAAATGTGTAGATGTGTGTTTATGATGTGGACTTTTGTCCTTGTTTTGGTGTGAGAAACCTGTCTCCAAAATTTGTAAAATTATCTATATATATATATATAAATTAATCAATATATAGATATATATCAATTAATATACACACATATCTATCTATCTATCTATCTATCTATCTATCTGTGTATATATATATATATATATATATATATATATATATATATATATATATATTGATATAATGGAATATGCATACACCTGTGTTCGCCCTCAGTGAAATATGATTGGCTGGTGTCTGTCATAAATACAGACAGACGTGTAGGTACGACAGAGTTTAAGTCTATGATGGCATCCATTGGACTACACCATTGGTTATCCATTTGGTCTACACCTATTACCTGCAACTACGACGAGTACCAGTTGATTACTGCTACTGTGTACTACTTGGTTACAGTAGCCAAAACCACTTAGCTACTTCGATCAAATATATCCCTTTCCGGGACATATCCTATATATATAAATTAATCAATATATAGATATATATCAATTAATATACACACACACGCACATATATATATATATATATAAATATAGATATATGTAAATTAATCAGTATATAGATATATATCAATTAATATACACACACATATATATATATCAGTTAATCAACATATATATATATATGTCTGATGATCACAAAAGCATAAAACCCAGGGTCACAAACACACATCAAACCAACCAAATATGTTAGCTCTATTCTGATATTGAGCACTTTCTAATAAGTACCGCACATATAATATATAAATAATAATATATATATATATATATATGTTTATATTCATATACACACTTTTCACATATATATATATATATATATATATATATATATATATATATATATACATATATATATTTAGTTGGATTGATGTAAGTTTGTTCAAATATGTTAGCTCAATCACTGATATTGAGCCCTTTCCAATAAGTACACACATATATAACATATAAATAATATATATATAACAAATAATATCTATATACATACACATTTTATATATATATATATATATATATATATATATATATATATATATATATATATATATATATATATTAATTAATTGATTTGTTTTCTATGGCTTATCAAAGCTGTAAAATATTTTTAGATTACTTTTTTTAGACAATAAAAGACTGATTAACCTATAGCTGGGGAGGAGAAGATGTGTATTCATACCTTTCCCAATGTTATTTGCATGTAAGTCAATATAAAACCCAATTGGAATTGGAAATCAGCTCTCTGATTAACAGTTCTGAACCATTACCCATTAAACCACACTGCACACTTAAGCTTACAGCACCTGATATTCCCAAGCAGTCACCAGGTCTAAGTACTGACCAGGCTCAATGTTGCTTAACTTCAGTGACCGTATGTTACCCAGTTTTTCAACGTGATGTGGCCGTAAGTATATATATATATATATATATATATATATATATATATATACACACACACATGCCAATCATAGAGAATATGATGGCAGAATGCCATCCTTCATGTTGTCCAATGTTGAACTCCCTGAAAAAGCCAGTATACACTTCCATCTGCACGAAAACCTTCAAATCAAGAACTGGCTTGACAAGGCATGTCTTGGTTTCTGGCAGGCAGTAATACGAATGTAAGGGGCTTATTTTATGAACTTTATTCCCCTCCCCTAACATATTTAAATTTTTTTATGAAAGCAAGGTCATCTTTTCTTTCTATTACATGCCTGTCATATAAATGACAAAATGTCCATCTTTTACTAAACTGGAGAAGAATTTTTATTCCCCAAGATGATAAAATTCTACTATTTTTTAATCTCACTAGATATTTTCTCAGTTTTGAGTAGTTTTACACAAGGCCTCATATGTGGACAACCCTAACTTTGTGGAAGGTGACTTTTCTATATATTAATGTGTGCAAGTATGTGTTATAAATGTGCATGTGAGCACAAAAGAAAAAAATTAAACAAGTAAACAGTGAGGCAAATAAAAAGAAACAAGAAATTTTAAGATAAAATTCTTTGTATTGCCAATATACAGGTTCAAGATGGAATGTCTCTTTGTGGGTGAGGGAAATGGCCTGGGCAATGGGGAGATTTGGTAAGGCCTGAAATAGATGTGCATGTTGGTTTGGTTGACCGAGTTCTCTGGTGGTGACATTGACAGCGTGCTTGCTCCACTTGTTCCTGCCAACATTGTCATGAGTGGTGCTCTTAAAAGTAGGAAGGGTGGATCATGACTCACCATTTTTGTTATGCCTTTTGATTTGGTGATAATGTTCATGATTGGCTCCTTTTATGTTGTATTCTGTATATTTATTTTGGAGAAGATCTGTTTTGTGAGCTGGATGTGATGCTCAGAGCCCCTGTGCAGAAAGTGACTTTTTTGTTTTTAGTTTTGCTTTTGTAGTGTTCACATCCACATCCAGACAACTATTTTTGATGTGGAATGAATCAGAAAAAAATATTTTTTTTCTTTACAATGATGTTCACCCTGTACACTCGAGGTAGTGTGTTACAGAGTAAGAAGCATAATTTATGCACGTATTTGGGGAAGGTAATGGTTAACCCTAGACTTTATTGGGTTAAAATTGTAGTAATCAGGGAAGCGTCTTCTTGGGAATTGGTCCTACAAGGCAGTGGTTTGTGGGAAGAAACTGGAGCTTACATCTCACCAAAGGAATGCAAAAAGAATGAGTGCAGTTCACTAGAATGTGCGTGGCTTGGCAGGTCTTAGCCATGAATGTTAGAATTGGTAAAACTAAGGAATATAGTTCATTTGAACACTTTCCATAGAAATAGTGATAGAGCAGCAAGACAGGAAGCAAAACATAATATATCTAACACACATGCACACATCAATATATACAGTATGGTGGACAACAGACAACAAATGATGGCTCAGTAAAATAAAGAAGTGCTCAGTTTCTATGGACACACATCTGAGTCCTGCAGATGTTTTGCAAACTTTTAAACAGATGGAACATGTGGTTGAGCCATTTTGCTTTATTGTTGCAGATCAATTGCCACAGTTAAATTATAGTTTAGCAGACTATAATTTTAAGGGGAATGGTATCTCTGCTCAGATTTCCTGAGGTTGACCTTCAAGGTCAGATGGAAGACAAAACAAGGAAGTCAATGTTGATAGACATAGAAAGGGTTTCTAGTGAGTTGTTTCTTAACCATCAAACAATTTAGATGAGTTTTCTTTCATGTCTGGAACTGCTCCCTAGTGGAGGGAGAGGAACCCTAATGGATACTTTGAGATGTATACATTGATGTTAATAAAATGGATAAGTTTAAAATTTCCTGTGTTAAAGTTCTTTTATCTCTGGACTCAAAACAACTAATAATCACTGTCTGCAAGAGAAGAATGCAACTTTATTATCGAATCAAGACCATTGCCTAAGGGACTATACAATACCACATGTTTCCACAAGTGGACGGCAAGGCCTGCTTTACTGCATGTGACAAAGCAACAGTTCAACTTGGCCTCACTCAAACCTTTGTATAGATAACGAGCTGAACAGGCACTAGTTCCTTCACTCTGACACTTTGTTTTCCCAAAATGAAAAGAGAAATCTCATCAGAGAGTCTTTGAAATGCAAGAGTGAACTTCTAACTGACCTTCTTGTTAGAATCTGAACAGAGAGCTGTTGTTTTGCAAGTCTGTTATACAAGAAAGATGTTCTACCTACCTGAGTTTTATATATATATATATATATATATATATATATATATATATAAATATATATATTTTAAAAATATAGTTTTGCAATATTAATGGGATAAAGTGTTCAATATCAAGGATAGAGCATACGTAAATATAAAAGTGGACATTGAAATCAACACTGTTTCATGCTAAACACAATTGTCAGGTGGTATTAAAGAAAATGTGTTTGTCAACAGGAATCGAACATGCGTCCCCCTTTGTAGAAGAAACCACCATTTGAGCCAGCATGCTTTACCTCTCAGCCACAAAGCATGGCTTTTTTCCATTTTTAAGGAAAGTACATCCTCTTCACTTGGATTATTTTTCTTAGAAGCCCATACCTGCTCAATTTCCTATCCAAAATGTAAACAAAGCAATTTCTAAAGAATTGATGGATTTATCTTTAATCAGACATTTTTATTATTTCAAATGTTTCTATAGTAGATACTTCAGATTTGAAATAGACACCCTATTTTTACTTATTAAACAACATACACACAAACACACACACACACACACATACATATATATATATATATATTCAGTTGTATGGATATGAGTTTGTAACCCTGGATTTCACACTTTCCCAATCCTCAGACAACTGAATATGTTAGCTCTATCACTGATATTGAGCACTTTCCAATAAGTACTATGCATATATAATAGATATAGAAATTATATATATGTATATACATATATATACATATATATATATATATATAAAACCTAAAGAGCCAGAAACTATTTATAGTAACTATAAATATGTCGCCTCACCCTTCCTTTTTAGCCAGTTTTACCCTGAAGATCCATTCAGTGAAACCTTGGTTGGTAGTTCCTGGCTCATTAGTTTTTTTATACTTTTCTCTATTTACTTTTATGGTTTTCCTAATTTACTTGATTGGTGTTTTTTTTTTGTTTTGTTTTTTCTTTTGACTAGACACTGCAGTGTTGGATGATTTTTTTCAACCAACACAAATGTTTTAGTCTTTTCTTTTTTTCTGTATTTTTTCCCTGATACCAGTTTGTTTAAATATATTTTTATTTGAAAATTGTGATATCTGTTTTTTTTTTTTTCACACCAGTAGAATACAGGCATTAAAATAATAAAATATATATATATATATATATATATATATATATATATATATATATATATAAAAGTGAAAATTGAAGTCAACACTTGGAGGCAACAGGTTGTTTCATGCTAGACACAATCGTCAAGCTGCGAATGTTGGATTTTTCCTCAAATGTTTATATATATGGGTCATTGGTGCATTGTGGGTAATTCATTCTGGCAGTTATTTTTGCGGGAGTGGCTTGTTTATTTATTTATTTGTTTAGGTCAATTTATTTTACTTGTTTTTCATTTTCATTTTGTATTATTTATTCTTTTCAGTTTTTGATGTTTTATTAACGTAGTAAAAAAAAAATTGGTGTGCATTTGCTTAGGTCACTTATTTAATAGTTTGTTTTGGTCTGGGAAGATAATTAAAGCTCTTTATTCGTCCAATGTTTAGATTGGTTGCCATAGTCTATTCTGTTATTTTGGTCGGGTGGACAGTTTTTAATTTATTTATTTGGGTTGATTATTTTTACTTGTTTTTGCTTATTTATGATTATTTTTTTTTGTTCTAACAGTTGTTTTAGCGGGGGGTGATTTGTTAATTTGTTCATTTATTTATTTATTGGATTAATTTTTATATTTGTTTTTTTATTTATTTACTTATTTTTTTATTTCGTATATTTTTATTTACTCTATTTGGTTTTTGATTTTTGAGTAACGTAGTAATGTTTATTTTTATTGTTATATAGCAGTTATAGCTATTTTTATGGCCAATGTTTGGATTGGTTGTTGTATTCTATTCTAATGGTTATTTTGGCTGGATTGTTTTTTTTAATTTGTTTATTTACTTTATTTATTTATTTCGTTTGATTATTTTTATTTGTTTTTTATGTATTTTATATTTTATTTTCATTTATTCTATTTTGTCTATTCTAACTGGAGTGGTTTGTTAATTTGTTTATTATTTGCTTGGGTTAATTTATTTTAATTGTTTTTTATATTATTTTGTTTATTTGTATTTATTCATTTCGGTTTTCGATTTGCATCATGCACAGAAAATCTGGTGAACAGGCTCACAACATCCAAGATTACCATCTAATTGCTATTGATGGGAGCCCCTCAGATAGATTCCACAAAGTATTCTAAGTTCCTAACTGTTATGGGACCTTACCCATAATAACATAATGGACTATTCCATGTGTAATAAATACTGCATCTCAAGAGGAAGCAGAGAGTTCCGTCTGAAGTCTAGAGTTCCGTCTGAAGTCTGAGTTCAGTCTGAAGTCTGGAGTGAGGTCCGTCAGAAGTCTGTCAGTCAGTCAGAGTGAGCAAGTCAGTCAGTTGTGTCAGAGGCAGTCCGAAACAGAGTCGCGTTCAGACAATTACTACAAGACATTGGAATAGTGATACTGGTCGAGACTACATTGTTCTCCCTACTAAACCTGATTGTTCGTACTAACACTTTCTACTTCTCTGTATATATTCCTGTTTGTAATATATCTGTGTTATTCCATATCCGTGTTCGAGTTCTTCTTTATTGGTTCTACCTTGGACCATCACCATGGTACAAGGAACCGGACCATAACACTAACATATGATGAGGACTTCCCTGTTAGTGAATTGACTATATCCATTTGGAACCTGTTC